CACACACACACACACACACACACACACACACACACACACACACACACTCTCTCTCTCTCTCTCTCTCTCTCTCTCTCTCTCTCTCTAATTCTGCACATTTGTGATTCAGGCCAATATTTCTTTCTCCTTCTCTGCTTTGTGAAGGGAACTGATTTGATGACAGGTGTACATGCTATTTGGTTTTCTTTTGAAATAATAATAATAAAAAGGGTCCACATAGGTAGGTACACAAGTACATTGTTACAGCTAAGAATGACAAAATGAAATATAGCAGCCATTTTTCTCTGGAGAAGAGATGCTTATAAATTTACTTGGTCCAAAGTATCTCTCGCTTCAGCAATACATCAAACTGTGCAGCCCCATCAGTCTGAATCAATTAGAAATTACTCACCAAGTAAATTACACTGAAAAGCTTTGATTTGTTACCGGAGTTTGTTACCGTTCTCTTCAATCTTAAAAGACTGAAAGCAAAAAAGTAATAACGTGACAGTGATAGTGAAATGTAACTTTTATTGAGATAGATGGAAACCTATTTGCTACAATATTTGCTTTTAATAATTTAATTTTTCAAACACTGCAGAGAGAGCCATAAATATTTGATTATGAAGCTTTTCCAATTTATGGTACATTAGTCTGCACTGGTTGCCTATCTTTTCAACATTCTTATATATCACTTAATAATTCTATCAACCATATGTCCATAACCAGCTCTTAGTTTGCCTTCTAATTGTGTTTTTTAACTTTCATCCGCTAGGATGAAGTAGGCTTTCTCTGACATGCACTTCAGGCATTGAAACAAATTGTAAAATGATGACTCCCTTTATAAAAATATTATTTAATTATTGTTTAGATCTTTGATGTCAGCTTCAATTTTTATTTTATTTTTCTAAAAGGGCTTAATCTTTCTTGGATTAAAGTCAATGACAAAACTCACATTGACTCCAACAGGAACAGGATTGGGTCCCTTCATTAGCATTTTTCACATTAATCTTTGCAACTGAGGTGTGCATGGCATTTAGGTTCTAGCAGATTTTGAAACAGAAAATTTCTTTTTAGCCACAAGACTTGGTATGGCCAATATGAATAAGAATAGTTAATGAATAAAAATAGCGCATGCAGTCTATCTAGGCTAGGATAATATTACAAGGGCATAACCTAGTTTCTGGTTAGGATCAGAAAGAAATTTTCCCTTTGTAAAGTTAGGTGCATTTTGGGGGTTTATCTGCATCTGGACCATCAGACTTTGGTCATTTTTGGAGATGTAACAGCAGACTAAACAGACCATTGGTCTTTTCCAGTATGATAGTTCTTATTGTCTTATGTGTGGAAAGTAAGAGTGTGAGCTCCCTGTTACTGCTTTCCAGATGGTTTCAGCCATGTCCAAGTGTAAACAGAGATGAGCACTGAAACAGCTTCTATATCAGCGTCCTTAATAGACAGAAATCCCAATATAATCCCGCTAATAGTTCAGAATGGTGGTATTCCTGTACTGCAGAAAGACATTTTTGTTCCTCACCTCACAAGTGGACTCTACTGGCTTCTGTTGTGCTGCTTGGTTGGATGTTAAACTAGGATATTTTACAGATGCCAGCTGCAGATTTTCTAGTAAGATACATTAATGTCCAGAAAACCTTTTTGACAAATAGGGTGTCTTCAAGCTGAATTACTTTACCTAGTATCTGGCAAAGTCTTCTGGTGCTGGAGAGGTCAGCAAAAGAAGATTAATGTCCTAACATTCCTGACCCTGATGTTCTTAACTGAAGATTGAAATAAGCAATTTAGCATAACATACCTTCAACATTGTAAATAGTTGCAAATGCACTCCAAAAGCATTTCTGACAAAAGGTATCCTAAGTAAATGTCAGCTCCTAAGGTGTGTCAGTTCTGGAGAAAATGGCTTAGAAAATGAAAGACAATGCACAAGAAATCAGACAGGTTGAGATCTTTTAAAGGCTGGTAAGTCAATGACAAATGTAGTTCAAAGAGTGCAGGTGAAGAATGAGTCATTATTAATGACCAAGGGCATTGGTTATTGGTGCTGAATAGAAAAAAACAATTATTAAGTTTGAAGCTTTACACTTGTGGAGAGTGGAAATTATATGCAATCCCTGCTAAGTGCCTGATTTTGCTGCTAGAAAATCCCTCTGACAGAAACCCACTTCAAAGTAAACTACTTTAGAATTTCTGTGCACTGTTGGATGCCTAACCAAAGGTCACTTTCCCTCTCCGTGTGTCTCTGTGCATCATTTTAGTGATTTTCTTTTTTTAAATCCACCCCCTCCCTCTTTTGCAGTTTACATAGATTTTTCTAGACCTCAAAGGAGCTAAACTGAAAATTGGAGAACTAGGTTTGGGCTTGAAATGCAAAAGCAGGAGCCTGTAGTGATTTAAAATGAGGATGTTTATTCATTATAGACCTTACCCTGCAACAGTGCTGGCCACCCTCCAGTGCCATTGAACTTAGTGAATGTGGAGGGCCTGCAGAGTATCAGCCCCAGGGGGGAACCATATTGGGAGCTGGATTTCAACCCCTCCATAATCCTCCCACGCGGAGCCCAAATACTCCTAAGATTTACCCTTTCTCCCCTTCTACAGCAAATTCTCTTAAAGTCTACTAAAAATCTCTCATCAGGGAAGGCTTTTTCTTAAAGTTTTGGAATTCTCTTGCTTTCACACCTCTGCCTCTCAATGTATTTATTAATCTACTTGTTAGTTGGAGCAAATGATACCAAAACCCAGTCAAATGCTGAAAAAGAATGGCTTCCCACAGTTCACTCTTAAAATTCCAGTAATGGAGAGAAGCACAAGAGAAGCAGCCATGAATGTTATGAGCAAAACAGAAGGCTTTGTAGAGGAGGCACTCTCACTGCTGTTTTGTTACTTCAGCAGAAACCAAGGACCGAATCTCCTGGGATGTAGCTAAGCTGTACAGGGCATAAATCTGTGGGGTGTGTGTGTGGCGGGGGAGGTTAAATTGCACTCTGGCACTACTCTGAACCTGCTGCAGTTCCATCCACGGTGCTTTGTAGGAGCAGCCTGAGAACTGCTCTAATTTACCTTGGCTATGGTGGCCTCAAAGGGCTGAAAATACAGCTGAGGATCAGTGTAATTCAGGGGCATCCTGGCAACATTCCCTCCTCCCTATGACACTGCCAGCAGGGAGGGCGATTGGATTAGCAACCTTTATCAAGGCAGAATAACACTGAAGGATCATACTTACACTGAGTGGAGCCATCAGAACTGTCCCTGCATGCTGCGAGTTGCTCCCTGTCTGCAGTGCCCATATGATAGAATCATAGAAGATTAGGGTTGGAAGAGACCTCAGGAGGTCATCTAGTCCAACCCCCTGCTCAAAGCAGGACCAACCCCAACTAAATCATCCCAGCCAGGGCTTTGTCAAGCCGGGCCTTAAAAACCTCTAACGATGGAGATTCCACCACCTCCTTAGGTAACCCATTCCAGTGTTTCACCACCCTCCTAGTGAAATAGTGTTTCCTAATATCCAACCTAAACCTCCCCCACAGCAACTTGAGACCATTGCTCCTTGTTCTGTCATCTGCCACCACTGAGAACAGCCGAGCTCCATCCTCTTTGGAACCCCCCTTCAGGTAGTTGAAGGCTGCGTGCTATCAAATCCCTCCTCACTCTTCTCTTCTGCAGACTAAATAAGCCCAGTTTCCTCAGCCTCTCCTCATAAGTCATGTGCCCCACCCCCCTAATCATTTTCATTGCCCTCCGCTGGACTCTCTCCAATGTGCCCACATCCTTTCTGTAGTGGGGGGCCCAAAACTGGACACAATATTCCAGATGTGGCCTCCAGTTCACACCTCTGGAACCATACTAGTTCTCCTAGCAGGGGTGCTTTCTGTGGAGGGAGAGGAAGGAGCTAGATTTGTCTGTAAGAGAACCATAAAACAATAACAAAAAATGAAATCTCCATGGAGGAACATACAGTGGCACCTCTAATAGACTGCACTGAAATGAACTCAAAATGGTGCCTGCCTCTAACAGACAGCAGAAGATGAGAAAACAACATATGGCAGATGTTAGACATGTAGCTTAATGCACTACTGGAAGGCACAAGCATGGTACAAGAACCTGTATAGAGAGTCCTCAGAGATTTAAAGATCCAGTACATAGAAAGCAAAGTAATAACAATTACATAGCTAAGTACACAACTATTTGGACCCCAGAAATATTTAGTAGAGACAGGCAAAGTAAAGGGTTTTTAGTCATTTATACACCTAAGAGGGACTATACCTCCAAATGCAGTCAGGCATGTTATTAAAGTTTTGGGCGTAGCAAGGAGCAGCTGGTAGGAAGGTTCACATGAGAGAAACAGGGAAAAGGTCTTTGCTCTGGAAGTATATGATCTGAAGGCAATCTGAGAAGACCAGGACTGCAGTTTAGGAGGTTTCCGAACAGTTCAGAAAACTAATACTGGCTTTCTGTGAGATGCTGTAATTTCTCAAGGAGACAGTGGTTAAAGTGTTTTCTGTATGAAAAGATATTTGAAAAATAAATCCAACTGTTGCTGATGTGAAATTAAATTTGAGAATGGCCTCACAGCTGCAATGAAGAAATGAAAAAGTCTGATCCCAGAAATATCAGGTCAGGAATAGGACTAACCTCTGAGGTTCTCGTCTTTGGAGATGCTGGAAAACTCTTTAAACATTAGAAAAAAATCCCACAGTTGCCTGAAAGGGAAGTTACAAATAAATTGTATTGTGAAGCCCAAAGGTTGCCAAGGCCATTATAACAGGGAAATCACAAGGGCAGGGGGCCTTAAGGGAGTTAAGACCAAATGAGGGCATTTTTTCATGAAGCTTCCAGGAAGCCATGGCCAATAGAATAAGCCAAGTTGCAGAATTATACCTCCTGGGATTGCAAAGGCAGAGCACCAACACTTCTTATGATTGGATGTCAGGCTGAATAAAAGTGGTGATGCTGAGAGGCCAATGAAGGCAGATGAATTCCAGCACTGAGTAAAGGCAAACACTCCTCTCAACCTGAGGTTTGCACATGACTTATGCCCGTTGACACAAGATTTAGCATATTCCTTAAGGAGGACTACAAACACTTAGTTCAGGGGTTGGCAACGTTCGGCACGCGGCTCGCCAGGGTAAGCACCCTAGCGGGCCAGGCCAGTTTATTTACCTGCTGACGCGGCAGGTTTGGCCGATTGCGGCCCCCACTGGCCGCGGTTCGCCGTTCCAGGCCAATGGGGGCGGCGGGAAGCCGCGGCCAGCACATCCCCTGACTTAGTTAATACAAAAAGAAAAGAGTTTTGATGCCTATTAAAAACACTGCCCTGTATGTTATCTTATAAAGACGTTAATGTAACTCTTTCTTCGAACAAGCAGAGCTCAGTTATGGAAATTGGCTCTGCCAAACTCAGGAATGATTTTCTGACCTGCAGATAAGGTAAGTGTTATGTGACATACTTATCTACAAATCCTTGGTGGGTTCAGGGATGGGACTGATACAATGTTTGCTTTCTACCCCCCATCTTCAGAACTACTGGGCCATATTCATCCCTGATCATTCACTGAAATCTATTGGTGCTGATTGTATTCTAACTTATATCAGTGTGTAAAACTGAGGCAAGCAAGAGGGGAATTAAACCCAATGTGCCTATCGTGGGGATACTTCTGGGAATGACATCAGAGAACTCAAGGGAGGAAGGTGTTATATGCTGGAAAATGCCTTGCACATTCAGACCAAGACACTGGATCAACTGCAGTAGAATCCTCAGAGAATCCATGTCAGATTTTACAACACCCACAGCATACACCGGTGCAGGACTTTAGGAGTTTTAATTAGGACTATGCAGACAGGAGGCCAGACATGTTATGTTCAATAAACCAGTGAGTTTTTACATCAGTAATGAGTCTTAGAATATTAATGTAAACCCGTCAAAAGTCTGAGACCCAATAGTGGAAGTGCAGTGATCACAAAGTTACCCGTACGTATATGGGGATAGCAGAGATATTAACAACCTTAACAGTGTAATGTTTAAAACACTGTGGAGGAGCAAACATATACTTTTCCATGGTTAATATAATCAGCAGCTGGTAGATTTCAGAGGATTATCTCCAATCATTGAGGAGAAATTTCCCTTGTGGGCATAATAAAAATTGTTAATATGTTGCTGCTGTTTTATTCAAGGTGAAAATTTTACTTTAATCATTTTCAAATAAACGTGAAACTCTACTATCACTCCCTTTTAATAACGCCAAAGAAAATAGTTCACAATAAATCTAACATAATGAACACAGCATGTTCATAGAGAACCAAGTGTTCTGAGCTTAAGTCCCCCTTAATCCATAATTCCTTTGGAACTACATATTATATCCACATGCATGCCAAAAAGAGGTTTATGATTAATGTTATTTTAATGAATAATAAAAGAATTGATGACGATTTTACCCAAAGATATTTGTCTTTTTTTATATACATGAAGATTTTTATATACATGAAGTGAGCTGGAGCACTGAACACTGACTAGGATGGTAATAAGTTTGCAAAGTCATCTAAGCAATGTGAATATACAAATAGGTTGAGCTGGCAATAAATGCAAGCTATGACTGCCCCCAGATATCCCAGAATTCTTTGCTTATGCATGCTGATCTATGAAGACTACTACATTTGGTACATATAGTCTTAAAAAATGGCTCTGGAAAAGAGATCTGCTAGGGCTAATTCTGATCGCACACAGGTGTAACACTGTTGATTTTTGTTACTTCTGATATACGATCATAATTGGGCTCATACTTAGTGACTAGAAATCCTGGTTTCCAGTCCTGTCTCTGAGCCAGCTCCTCAATTGATGAAAAAGTCAGTGAGGTCAATAGAAATTAATGGAACTATGCTGATTTACACCAGCTGAGGATCTGA